TTTTTTTTTTTTTAACAGCATATTCAATAGACTCACTGCTCGATTTATCTGTATTTACCGACTTGCACAGTTATACCAAGAAATGTTTACACAGATGATGATAAGCATATGTAGAAATGCAACATTTTCACAGACTGGAATAACCAACTCCAGGCTGCAGTTCTCTACACGAAGATGAAGTTTAATGGGGAAACTCCCTCAGCTCCTGACCGCAGCGACCTGAGCCTAGTGGAGCAGTTGGGGACGGTGGGCAGAGCCAGGTGTGGACAGGCGGTAGGTCCTGCACCTGGATGGGGGGAGCAGCAGGCTCCAGGGTCAAGTTGAGGGTGTGCTAGTCCGGGCCTCCAGGCCTCAGGTGGCCCACTCTGCCCTCTGCCTGTTGCCCCCCTTGTAAAGTGGGGAGTAAGGGACCATCACGAGCCAGGGGTTGGTGGCACATGCTGTGGTCTCAGCCACTCAGGAGGCTGGGGCTGGAGGGTCACTTGTGTCCCAGAGCTGAAGCTGTGGTCTGTGAGCCGGGTGCCTGTAAATAGCCACTGTGCTCCAGCCTAGGCAACGCTGAGACACCGGCTCTGAAAACCCACAAAACTTAAAAGATGAACACAGATAAACTATGGGAGCCCGGTATGCGGTAAGCACTCTACAGGTGACAGCCTGGAACCCAGGACAGGTCACGAAAGGCTGCCGGCTTCAGTCACTGCCTGGTGGAAAACAAGCCTGTCTTTGGGACCAGCCAGCTAACAAGTGAGCGTTTCACCACATCTGAAGGCAAAGTACCCAAATGGGCAACCGTGGACGGCTATGTAAAAATCAAGACTCCTGGGACACCTTCTTGGGACACATTCTTAATAAACAGATACGTGCATGAGGACTTTGTATGCATTTCTATGCAACAGGCCACCCAAACCTCAGTGAGCAAAAACCTCTCTTCACTGCTCATGACCCTGTGGGCCTGCAGCTTGAGCCAGTTCAGCTGAGACTGCTTCTCTCAGCCCCACGAGGTGACCACTGGGCCTACTTATCAGCAGTGGCCTCCTGGCAGATCCGGGCAACGTGTCACCAGCCAGGCTGGCCAGGCCTCCCTCCCGGCGGGTCTCTATCGGTCTCTATTGGCAGCGAGAGAAAGCAAATCCCTGTGGTGCTCCCATCCCTCTCCCCAGGAGAAGCAGGTGAGATGGCCTGGGCCTGAGTGGACGTGAGGGACTGCACGGAGGACGGGCGGAGGGAAGCATGGCTCATTGGGGCGGTCACTGTGGCAGTCTTCCACAGGCCTTCACTTAGGTACGACTTGGTGTGGGGAACACAAGATAATCCCCGGAAGGGAGGCTGCTTATGCAAGTTTCAACTTGTCCTCTTTCTCCCTCCAGAGCAGCAGAAAGCAGATGGCGGCCAGGGCCGGGACCCTCTGCTGTTCCCACAGGCCTCTCCAGAGGCTCTGCAGGACCAGCCAGCAGCCTCTAATGGTCCCGTCCTGTTCCACGCCCTCAGATGCCATCCTCTCCACAGAGATGGTTCCTGCCATGGCGCTCTCCCTAACTTGGAAGAATGGCACTCCCCTTGATGCTGATGTCAGGGAGGAAAGCAGTTTCCAGTCGCCCAGGCCCAGGACAGGGCATTCCCAGCTATCGTGGAGCATGGAGCTCCAGGATGCCCACTTGGGTGCCTTTGAGATGAGGCGCTTTGAGAAGGAATCCTGCAGTCTCCTGAGGAGGTCCAAAGAAATTTCGAGGATATCTCAGCCATCCGTTCTTTGTTCACTGTGGAAGTCGAACACTAGGGCTCCTGGAGGGGCCCTGGGTCTCCATAGAAGCATTAGCAGCCACCATCTACTTCCTGGACTTCCGTGCCTGCCCCACCTCTGTTATGTTGTTAAATGCCTCCTTTGTGGGAATTATGGAATAAACAATCACTTTGGTGTCCCAGAAGATGAACCTGATGCTCGAGGGCTTGAGTGCAGGAATCCAGCCAGGCTCCCTCTGTATGCCCCAGGATACGGAGTTAGGCTTTGCAAAAGCATGTGAGACATCAGCCGCTGTGAAACATGGTCTACACAGCACCAAAAACCCGTTTGGCCATGTTTTCCCTTCAGTAGAGTTAAATGGCATGACCCTGTGACTGTCCCCCATAAGAGGAATTACAAATTATGCTGGCATTGCCAGTTTACAGGATACAGTGGCACAAAATGATTTCCACCAGCTTAGGATATAGACCCAGGCAGACTCGAGAGATTAAGTGGATTTCAAACTGTGGTCTCAAGCCTTCCGGGAACTGCCCGAAAGGGAGGGAGGCTGCCAGTCTGGGAGTGGCCCAGCTGCCCAGCCTATTCACACACTGGGCTTTCAGTTGAAAAGTGTTCAAAGCTTACACGTGTAAATGCCACTGATCTGTGAACTCCCTTCCTGTCATGCCCAGAGGCTGGCAGAGTGTAGCTAGAAGGGTGGGACCAGAGGGCTGGGTCACGTGACATGCGCACGGGGGTGCTGGCCTCCCTGGCCAGGGTGGCCAGCACAGCCTCTCTTTCCCTTTCCAGCCACACAGGTCAATCGTGTGCTTGGATTTCTGTCTCCCGAATTACAGAGTGTGTTGCCAACCTGCTGTGCTGAGGCAGTGGCCCGGTCTTGGTCCGGGTGTCCTAGGACTGATTGAAGAAGCCTGTTGGACTGTAGTACCTGTGTACAACCAAAGATGTAGCTTTAAACCATCTTGGCTTGTTTTATTTAATTCTGCCCAATCTATTTGAGGAAGGACACTCACGGGTACTTTTTAGATTATAGCCTAAAGTGGATTATTGATTTCCTTGTTTCTAAACCATCAGAAGGAACATAAAACTGCTAATAAGAGGTGACCAATATTCCATGATATCATGATTTGAGACATAACATTTTTTTGCCCTATATTTTAAAAATAAAAAGACATGAGACTGGAGTGGCAAAAGCCAGATGGTGCCAAACCATTCAATCAGCAGCTGCCATGGTGGTGGATACCTTGTGTAAGGCCCGCCCAGCTCACAGTGTGCCACCGTCCCCGGGACAACTCCCAACTCCCACAGTGATGGAGCAGGAGCGGTCTGTCTGTGCTCTGTGACAGGCATGCAGTCCACCCCTACTCCAGGACATCAGGCGGGATTCTGACTCCCAGGATGGCCCTGGGTGCTTAGAGCTGGCATTGAGACAATTGTAAGTCTCTCTTCGTGCCTAGGCCTGAAAGGTTTAAGCCCAGCGCAGTTAGGATGGTCTCTATCACTTGCCAGCCTAAAGAGACAAAAATGGAGTAGACATACAGGGGCAGGCGAGAGAGGACATTCCGATGACCTTTCAGTGCCATAGGCAGTGTGGTATGCATGGGTGAACACGTGGCCAGGAAGATGTCTTTGCTTCAGGGCATTCATGTTCTAGTGGGGAGATGGCATCAGGGAGCGGTGCAGTGTGATAACTGGGACACCATCCAGGGCAGGAGCAGAGGCGTGAGGGTCAGTGCAGACCAGGCTGTGCCATGCAGCGCCGGCCGAGTTGTTTGGCCTCTCTGAGCCTGTTCTGTATCTGTAAGAAGGAGTCGAAGGATGAAAAGGCTCAGGTGGTGACAGAGAAATGCAGTTTTCTAATGGAGAGGCATGTGAATGGTTGCAGGAGCCAAGGGCGCTGCAGCCGCCCCACTCAGGAGCATCAGAGCTAGCTGCAGGAAGCTACGCTGAGCCTTGGAGGATGAGAAGACATTGATGGCAGGAGCGCCCACAGCAGAGGAAAGAGCACTTCCGTGGCACGTAAAGTCAGAGAAGAAAGGAGGCTTATGCCACCACTGGTCAGAAGAGTCCTCCTGATCGGGCCACTTAGACCTGCAGTCTGTAGAGACCAGGGAAAGGGAACGTGATGCGTGATGAAATCAGAGGTGGGCAAGCTGAGCCTTGGCCTGACGCTGTGCAGTCCGAAGCTAAGAATGAACATTAAACATGTAAAGTGTTGGGTTGGTTGAGGGTTCTGAAGAAGATATGCAGTGGGCTTATGTGGCCAGCAGAGCTGTAAATCTTTGCCATCTGGTCCTTTACAGAGAAAGGTAATCCCTGGTTTAGCCAAGTAGGGTCTACTTCTGGAGCTGGGAGTTAGAGCAGCTGCCATCGAAGCACACAGACCAAGGGTGGCAGGGCAGAAACACAAAGCCAAATCAGCACCATGGGCGAGGGGACGGGATCTCTGAGGCACCCAGCGGTGTCTGCCTGGAGCTCAGGCACGCGTGCAGCTTCCATGCAGAACACTTGTATCAGGTGTCAAGAGTGAAAGTAGAAAGAGGTAAGAGGATTTTGGAATTAGACTCAACAGGACTTAGTGATAGATTCACGGGAGAGGCGCGGGAAGGGAACATCAGGGCTCACCCAGGATTCTGGCCTGCACTATCGGTGGATGATGGCGCTCTCGGGTGATGTGGGGGATGGGGGAAGAAACCCGGCATTCCTTTTGGGTGCGTTAAGTTTGCGATGCCTACAGGATGGCTGAGTGGCCGTGTTAGGACAATAGCTATGTGCAAAAGACTGATGTCCGGAGAGGGGAGCTGTGCTGGGGATGGACATCTGAAACCCTTGAAAATGGAAGACGTCACCCATCACCTAAAGAGAGGGTGGAGAAAGGAAAGAAGGGAACCAGGGAACCTGGCACCAGATCCAAAGAGGCTCAGCCTAATACCAGAGGTGAGCACAGAAGAAGTGAGTGTGGGAGGTGGGAAGACCCAACGAGGCGCGAGAGAAAAGATGGTAGTGTTTCTCTGGAGGCGGAGGCAGGGGACTGCTTGAGACCAGGAGTTGGAGGCTGCAGTGAGCTATACCTCACACAGCATGTATTCCCTTGTGTCTTGATTCTTTTGCTCGATCCTGTATAAAGAGTAGAAGGAAGAAATAAATATGGTTACATAGGCATATAATTTTAAATTTACAACCAAAGTCTTAGATCTAATTAAAATTCAGCAAGATTACTGAATGTAAAAGTGACACACATGCACACAGCCCCAAAATGATTTCTATATATCTCAACAAACAACATGTAATTTGGAAGATGACACTGCTTACAACAGTAACAAAAGTATGAACTAAAAATAAATCAAAAAAGAAATACATGATCCTTAAGCAGAAACTTATTTTTAAAAATTATTAAAAGAGCAAGTGAATATAGAGACACACCAAACACCTCAAATTCTTTGTGGGATGACTATAAATATATAAATCAAACAAAATTAGCAGCTTCACCAGCTTCTTTTGAATGACACTAGATTTTAAAAATAAAACAGATGCAGAACCAGGATGACTCCTGGTAACATATGACTCTAAAATAATGGACTAGAGGCAGGAAAAAGAGACCTTTTTTTTTCTATTTTGCTGCGTTATGTCTTAATTATTATGTTAACAGTCTTTCCTGAGAAGCTAAAAGGTTATTAGCAACTGAAGCCAAGAGAGGAGGGGTGGCAGGAGGGCGTGGGCAGCCTGGGCTCTCTGCTGGATCCCCAGGAGCTGTTCTGGAGGGGCTGGAGGCTGGAGGCTGAGTCTAATCACAGTTGGGTTAGTGACAAATTAGATGGCTCATGTGGTTATTTAAAGCCTTCTCTCTAGGGAACTTTCAATTACCATATATTCAAGATCTTGCAGTTTATAGTTTTAAACTGGAATCTCAGGGACTCGGACTAACTGTTACCTATACAAGTTACTCAGGGATACAGCAGTTGTGAACAGTGGTGTAAAAAGTGGCCATCATCGGCTGGGCGTGGTGGCTTACGCCTGTAATCCCAGCACTTTGGGAGGCCGAGGTGGGTGGATTACAAGTTCAGGAGCTTGAGACCAGCCTGGCCAACATGATGAAACCCCATCTCTACTAAAAATACAAAAATTAGCTAGGTGTGGTGGCAGGCGCCTGTAGTCCCAGCTACTCAGGAGGCTGAGGCAGGAGAATCGCTTGAATCCAGGAGGCGGAGGGTGCAGAGAAAGAGAATTTCACCACAAAAACACAAAGAGGGAAAAGGGGGTAGAATCTTTAAAAAAAAAAAAAAAAAAAAAAGTGGCCATAATCGTGTATTTTCAAACATTTTTGTTGAGGTATAATGCATACACCAAAAGTATCCATGTCATAAGTGTACATCTCAACACAAATGTGACCAGCTCCTGCGTGCCCCTCCCCAGCCATGGCTGCCTCTGGGCCTTAAAGGTAACCTCTGCCCCAACTCCCACCTCTGTAGATCGGTTATACCGTTTTTTGCTTCACATAAGCGACATCACACAGCATGTATTCTTTTGTGTCGTGATTCTCACTTGATGCTGTGTTTATGAGCTCCATCACCCTGTGTGGAAGCAGCAGTAATTCACCGTTTTCATTGTCATGTCCAGGGTAAGACCATTCCACAGCCTATTTATTCATTCTACTATCGATAGAGATTTTTGTTGCTTCCTAATCTTTGTGATCATGAGTAATGCCTCTATGAACGTCCTCATATGTCTCTCTTAGTACACGTGTGTATGTTTCTGTTGAGTGTGTACCAGGTCGCAGGAGACACATAGGTCCCACTCTAGAGGTCACACTGATTTTCCAAAGTGTTGAGCCACTTTATACTCCTACCAGCAGGCAAGGAGCTTTCTGGCTGCTTCTTGTTCACCTGGACAGCTGGTGTTGATACTTTGGCCACTCCAGAGGGTCGTGGTGTTTCCTTACAGTGGCTTTAATCTGTAGTTCACTAATGATCAGTGAGACTGAGCATCTTTCCATATTCTTATATTCCATATTCACATCCTTTCTGGTGAAGAAGCCACAAGTTTTCTTTATTATTTACTTGTAGAAGTTATTTGCATATTCCAGACACAAACTCTTGGAAGGTATATGTGTTGCAAATAACTTCTCTCAACTTGTGTCTTGCATTTCCATTATCATAGTGGAGTCTTTTATAATACAAGAGTTCTTAATTTCAATTAGTTCCAATTTAGCTACCCTTTTTCTATGGTTAGGGTTTTTTTTGTGTCCTGTTTAGAAAACCTCAATGACTCCATGGTCATGATAGTGTGCTTCTGTTATCTTCTGGAAGGTTTATTGTTTCAATTTTCAGATTTAGAGAATAATTCACCAGGAATTGTTTTTCTGTACAGCGTGAGGTAGGGGTTCAGAGTCAGTCCATCAGTGTTGTGTGTGTTTGGTGTCCAGTTGACCTAGAACCATTTACTGACATGATTTCCTTTCTCCCTGCTGCTCTGCTGCAGTAGCTTTGTCAAGAATTAAGCATCCACATAGGCGTGGGTTGTGGTTTTTTTCTGAACCATTTTGTTCAGAAAAAACATCAGAAAAACCATTTTGTTCAGAACTGCTACTTCCTGTCCTAATTACTGAAGCTTTCTCATGAGTCTTCTTTAGACACCATAGATCCACCTTCCAGTTTTTTATGCTTCAAAATTTTCTTGGTTATATTTGGTATTTTGCATTTCCATTTAAATCTTTGAATTGGCTTATCAATTTCCCTAAAACATTCTGCGGGAATTTTTATTCGAATTGCATTGAAGCTGTAGATCAATTTGGTGAGAACAGATATTCTCACAATATTGAGTGCTCCAGTTCAAGTTTATTCCTACATTAATTTAAATATTCTTCAGTTGCTTTCATTATTTTCTAGTCTTCTGTGTCGATATTACACACATAGTCCATTAGATTTAGTCCCAGACATTCAGTGCATTAGATGACCATTTAAAATATTTCCTATTTTTATTTTGTAACCACAGATTTTCGGTGTATGTAGAATGCAATTGATCTTTGTGTATTGACCTTGTACCAGCAATCTTTCCAGATTCACTTAATAATTTCAATAGTTACCTGCAGATTCTTTTGGGTTTCCTACATATGTGTCATTTTGTTTGTGAATAATGACTTTTTCATTTCTTCCTATCCAATCATTTTATCCTTTGTGGCTTTCTTCTAGGCTTACCTCACTGGCTGCTGCAGAAAATAAGTGTTAGTGGTGAGCCTCCTCATTCTATTCCTGACCTCAGAGGGGACACTTTCAATATTTCACCAGTAAGTGTGAGATCTGTGGTAGGATTTTTAAATATAGATATTTTTAAATATAAATTTTTAAATATAAATATTTTTAATTTATAGGATTTTTAAATATAAATATTCCCCCCAATGAGATCAAGGACACTCCCTTCTAGCTCCACTTGGCTAAGAGTTTCTTTTCCTGAATGCATGCTGAATTGTATCACATTCTTTCTTCTGCATTTATTGAGATGATAGTGTGATTTTTCTGCTTCCTTATATTAATATGGTGAATTAAGTTGATTGAAGTTAAAATGTTATACCAACCTTGCATTTCCGGAAAAAGCCCAATTTGGAACAAGCCGGGGAGATACCACAGGATCCTTCTAGCAAATCCCACTCTCTGCTTGCCCACCCGCCTTGCTTCAAGAACAAGCAGTGGAAGAAACAAGGGAAATGGTGAAGAAGCCCAGGCCTCAGGGCTCCGACTGGCCCTGTTGTGGCCTAAGGCGTTGGAGGGGGGACTTTTGTGGCCTGGCTTGGTGGTGGTGGGGGCTGCTGTTGCCTGGCGGGTGGGAAGTCTGTGGCCTGGGTGTGGGGGATTGCTGATGGCTGTGGTCTGGGCACCCCCCAACTATGTCCTGGCCATGGGCGGCTGCTGTGGCCTGGCCCTCCCTGGCAGATGAAAGGCTCTGGGCCTCGTTTCACATCAGCTCTGGCTGATGTGAGACAAGGTCACTTACTGGACATTGGTCCCTTCCTTGGGCTTCAGTCTCCTTGTCAGAGAGCCTATCTGTAGTTATGAGTCAACAAAGTATGCCTCAAGCAAATTGTGTAAAAAGAAAATATAAATTAAACATTAAATACTCCCATCAGCCACACAAATGTGAGCTACTGTTCCGGCCTGCACTGAGGTTTGAGGCTTGCCCCTTTCCAGCACCCCACAATGATGGGATGTGGCACACGGTGTTTGCCGGAAACCTCCAGATTCAAGGGGAAAAGTCTCTCTGCCTGTCCTATGCTGGCCACCATGGGGACCTGTGATGGAGTACTTATCAGTTCTTCGGCCAGGCTCTTTTCAGGGGGAAGGGTCTCATGTTGGTCACCCACGCCTAAGGGGATGGAGAGGAGGGAGGGCACATCTAGGGGGCTGCCACCCCACATGGCCCTGCGAGAACCAGGAGGGGCCCGGGTGGCTGAAGGAGGGCGGGCCCAGGAACAGGTCCCAGGCCCCCTCTTGTCCTGGCTCCTTCCAGGACCTCCTGGGAACACAGCACGCATTCCAGAGAGATGAGAGCAGTCATAGTCTACACGGCTTTGCTTGAATGGCATACAAGTATAAGCCCACCTATTTTTGCTTTCTAGAATTCCACTTCTATTTTTGGTGGAATATGAAAGCTTTGACTATTTCCCAAAGTGGAAAAACACAGATTTTTCCTTGACTGTCTGGTAATATCTTCGCTGCTCATTAAATAAGTGCATTCCGTCTGCATGGGCACTCAGTGAACCCCCTTCCCTATCTCCTGAGCATGAGCTGGCTGTGTGCATCACACACAGAGCCTTTGCAAGCCCTCCTGTATTTTATGTATTCAAGCTTCAGCACTTCACACATATCCGAGTGGGCAGATCTGAATAAGGGCATCAGATGTGCCCACCACTCTGCAGCTAAGGACTCCAGGGAAGCTTCTCCATGAGGATTCCAGGGCTCAGGTCCCAGGCCCCACCCCTCATGTATCTGTAAAACAGAAGAGGAGGAGGGGGAGGGAAAGGAAGAAGAGGGGCAGGAGGGTAGGATGAAGGGGAGGGGTACTTACACTCCTTCCACTGACTGAAGGATGTCTGCGGTGGCCACTGGGGTTACTATGGAAGAAACGTGCCCACCTGAGCTCACTCCCACTAGCAAATTAGCCTCCATTACAACAACTAATTCTTTCAGTATTTTGTGACAGGGTCTCACTCCGTTGCCTAGGCTAGAGTGCATTGGCAGAACCATGGCTCACTGGAGCCTCCACCTTCTGGCTCAAGCAATCCTCCCACCCCAGCCTCTGTAGTAGCTGGGACCACAGATGCACACCACCACACCCAGCTAATTTTTTTATGTTTATTTTTTGTAGAGACAGGGTCTCCCTATGTTCCCCAGGCTGGTATCAAACTCCTGGGCTTATGTGATCCTCCCACCTTGGCCTACCAAAGCGTTGGGATTACAGGTGTGAGCCACTGCATTCAGCCTTAGTGGGTCTATTTCTTGACTCTTTATTCTGTTCCATTGATCTGCTTGTTTAGCTTCCCACAGACACCACATTGTCTTGAACCCTATAGCTTAAGAAAAAGAAGCTGGTGTCGTTCCTGCAGACTCTGTGTAGGATCGTTTGCCCTATTCTAAGTTCTTTGCATTTCCATTAAACTTTTAGGATCAGCTTGTCAATTTTTATAACAAAGCCTGCTGGAATTTTTATTAGACTAATATTGATTAGTCATTCTGTTGCCCAGGCTGGAGTGCAATGGCAGAACCATGGCTCACTGGAGCCTCCATCCCTTCCATTGCCTTAAGCATGTCTTCCTGTTTTGGGGAAGGATGGACAGTTTTATAATACTGAATCTTCCAATACATGATCATGTCTCAGTCCATTCAGACAGCTATAGCAAAGTATCATTGACTGGATGGCTTATAAACAACAGATATATATTTCTTGCAGTTCTGGAGGTTGGAAAATCCAAGATCAAGGTGTCTGGTGAAGGCCAGGCTCCCTAGCCTCTGGCTCCAGGACTTATACCCTTCGCTTGGTGTTCTCAGGCCTTTGGCCTTGGACTGAGTGTTTTACCGTCAGCTTCTCTGGTTCTGGAGCTTTTGGTCTTGGACTGAGCTACACTGCCAGCATCCCTGGCTCTCCAGCTTGCAAATGGCTTGTACTGGGACTTCTCAGGCTCCACAACTGATGGTGCCTTCTTGCTATGGCCTCACATAACAGAAGGGGCTAGATAGCTGTCTACAATGGGTTTTATAAGGAAACTAATCCCATCATGAGGACTCCACCCTCGTGACCAAATCACCTCTAAAACCATCACCTTGGGGGGTCAGAATTTCAACATGTGAGTTTTAGGGGGACAGAAGTACTTAGACCATAAGACTCTCAATTTGTTTAGGTTGTCTTTAATTTCTCCTGGCTGTATTTTGCAGTTTTCAGGGTAAAGGTCCTGCACATCTGTGTTAGTCGAATTTCTCTAGAGAAACAGAACCAATAGGATGAGTGGATACATGGAGAGAGAGAGAGAGAGAGAGAGGAGAGAGGAGAGAGACAGGCAGACAGAGACAGGTAGATAGTTGAGAGGGGATTTATTAGGGGAACTGATTCACATGATTTTGGAGCCTGAGAATTCCCACTGCCGGCCGTCTGCAAGCTAGAGACCCTAGGGTGCTGGCAGTATGGCTTGGTCCAACTCCAAATCCCCACAACCAGGGAAGCCAATGGTAGAAGTCTCAGTTCAAGGTCAAAGGCCTGGAAACCCAGAAACGGGGTGAAATGCAGCTGTACGGAGCACTACATGAACCATGTCTCTTTTATCTGACTACCGAGAGGGCTCAGTGACTAACAGCGGGTAGTGTAGACAGCATGAAGATGTTGAACAAGGGACAATTCATATCCTGTGCAGGACACAGCAGGGTGGTGCCAGATTTCATTGTGCCCCTCAGAGAACGTGCAAATTAAAGCATATGAATTATTTCTGGAATTTTCCAGTTTATAATTTTAAAATGCAATTGACTGTGGGTAACTGAAATCACAGTCAGTGAAACTGAGGATGGTGGAGGCTGCTGTACAAGATTGTGGGGTCCTGCCGACTTCTCTAGTTTCATTAAAGAGCAAACTCTGGCAGGATATGTCATATTTGTATAACACTCAAGAGCTGCACTTGCTATGTAATTTGCAGGGTGCACTGAAAAATGAAAATGAGGCTGCTTATTCATGAAACATGAAAAAGTTCCTTTTTTCCAAAGTCTGTCTCTGTGTGTGCGCCTCCCTCCATCGCCCTCCCCTGCCCTCTCAATCTGTCACAGTGATTTTTACTTGCCGTTACTGCTGTGCTCCCTTGAGGAAGGGAACACCTGCAAGGCAAGTAGGGACCTTCACAGGTAGAGGCGTCAGGGTCAGAACGTTGGAGTGGCCTTGGGTGAGTCGAGGCTCCAAACCCCATAGGGCTTCTCTTTCAAAGCACACATTCAATAATAAAATTGTTAAAATATCAAGGTAACAACTGCAGAGCACTCAAAATGCAAACACCGTCCTCCTGAGCATGGAACCCTCCGAGAACAAGGTCCTGAGCACTGAGCCCTCCTGAGCACCAGGTCCTCCTGAGCATTAAGTACTCCTGAGCACCGAGCCCTGCTGAGCACCGAGCCCTCCTGAGCACAGAGCCCTCCTGAACACAGGGTCCTCCTGAGCACCAAGCCCTCCTGAGCACTGAGCCCCCCGAGCACTGAGCCCTCCTGAACACAGGGTCCTCCTGAGCACCAAGCCCTCCTGAGCACTGAGCCCTCCTGAGCACTGAGCCCTCCTGAGCACCAAGTCCTCTTGAGCAACAAGCCCTCCTAAGCATTGAGTCCTCCTGAGTACCAAGCCCCCTGAGCACTGAGCCCTCCTCAGCACCAAGACCCCCTGAGCACTGACCCCTTCTGAGCACCGAGCTCTCCTGAGTGCTGAGTCCTCCTGAGCACTGAGCTCTCGTCAGCACTGAGCCCTCTGAGCACCAAGTACTTCTGGGCACCGAGCCCCTCAAGCACCGAGCCCTTCTCAGCATCAAGCCCCCCTGAGCACTGAGCTCTCCTGAGCACCAAGCCCTCCTGAGCACTGGGCCCTCCTCAGCACCGAGCCATCCTCAGCACCGAGATCTCCTCAGCACCAAGCCCTCTGAGCACCGAGTACTCCTGAGCACCAAGTTCCCCTGAGCACCGAGTCCCCCGAGCACTGAGTCCCCCTGAGCACTGAGTCCCCCTGAGCACCGAGTCCTCCTGAGCACTGAACCCTCCTGAGCACCAAGTCCTCATGAGCAATAAACCCTCCTGAGCAACAAGCCCT